CTCATCTCCAAACCTTTCAAACTTTCATATTCCTAGTAACCAAAATTCATGCCAAATTATTTTATATTATTCCTTCAGAGACGAAAAAACAGCTTGCAGGTATTTTCAAGGAGAAATTATACTCCTTTTTATTTTCTCTTCCCTGCCCTCATTGAAATGAAATTTTCTACACCCACACACCCACACACCCACACACACACCACACACCTACCTACTCTGGAAAAATTCTAAGAACGGATTTCCAAACCTTACAAGCAAAGAAATATGAATTTATATAACTCTGTATATCTATCCTCTTTCTGTTGCGGCTGTTGTTATGATTAGATATTGAGTCCAGTTATGAAGCTTGCCTTAGCAGGCATTGGATTTCCTATGCAGATTAGGCTGGCCTAAAATTTGCAATGATCTTCATACCTCTGCTTCCTGTATGCTACATTACAGGCAAAAACTACCATGCCCAGCTTTACGTGGTCTCTTAATTCTAAAATTGCTTGCTACTTTAAATATCCTGCCTAAGAAACTGAGGAAGATATAGAGCAGCAAAGGCCTATAATCCAAGGTCTAAGAGATGCTGAAATAGAAAGTTTGTGCGTTTAAGGCCACCCTAAGATACACAGCACCCACATGGCAGCTCATGACTGCTCTAACTCCAGTTCTAGGACTTCTGACACCCTCACACAGACATACATGCAGGCAAAACACCAATAAACATAAAATAAAAATCAATTATTAAAAATAAAAAAGAGCACTAGGGAGATGTCTCAGCAGTTAAAAGCATTTGCCAAGCAAGATAACTTTAGTCTACTCTTCAGAACCTATGCACAAAGCATATTTGGCTCATCTGTAATCCCAAGATGGAAGGCAAGAGACAGAAGAGACTGCCTCAACACCAAAGCAGCCAAGAACCCTCAAAAGTTGCCCTCTGGAGGCTAGAGAGGTGGCTCAGAAGTTAAGAGCACTGACTGCTCTTGCGGAAGACCCTGGGTTTGATCCCCACCACTCACGTGGTAACTCACAACTGTCTGTGTACCTCCAACTTATAGCCTTCATGGGCACCAAGTATACACGATGCCCAGACACCATACAGGCAATCACCAGTACAAATAAAATACAATTTCTGTTTAAATTTAAGTCATCTTCTGACATCCACACTCTCCACAGCATAAATATGCATTTACTCACAAATACACACACAAAATTCATAAAATTTTAAAATATAAAGTGATAAATATTAGAGATAAAATAATGGAGTGTTTTTTTTTAAAGCCTAAATCAAGACCTGAAAACAAGTCACATAGCATTAAGATTAAAATGCAGGGGGGCTGGAGAGATGGCTCAGTGGTTAAGAGCACTGACTGCTCTTCCAAAGGTCCCGAGTTCAATTCCCAGCAACCACATGGTGGCTCACAACCATCTGTACTGGGATCTGATACCCTCTTCTGGTGTGTCTGAAGATAGCATACAGTGTACTCACATACATAAAATAAATAAATGAATGTTTTTTAAAAAAAAAATTAAAATGCAGGACAGGTGTGGTTGCACATACTTTGATCCTAGGCTTAGGCAGTCAGAACTCTTGAGTTCCAGACCAGTGTGGTCTATATATTGTGTCCAGGACACGAAGAAGGCTACATAGAGAAATCCAGCCTTAAAACAAAGAAAGAAATTAACAGAATTAAGATGCAAGCACCTAACATAAAGGGATGGATGGATGGATCAGATTAGACAGGTAGGTAGATTAGATGTATAGATTTGATCAATTAGATAGACAGACAGACAGACAGACAGACAGATAGCCAGGCAGGCAGGCAGGCAGGCAGGGAGATTGAATGATTTTTTGGACCAACACACACCTGGAGCTCCCTAAGGCCAGAGTCAGATCCCTGAAACTGGAGTCACAGACAACTGTAAGCCCCCATGTGGGTGCTGAGAACCAAACCAACCCTGGATCTTCTGGAAGAGCTCTGAGTGCTCTTAACCACTCATCTCTCCATGAAGATTTTATTTTTACATTCTCTTCAGCTAAATCTAAGTTTTCAAGTTTTAATCAGTTATGTCCCATTATATACACAAAAATTTAAGTCTCTATCAAATGCAAGAAGGGATTAAACATTTTGAAATCTGTCTTGATATATAGGTTCCAATTCAACTTTTCAAATTAAAAATAACTTTGGAAAGAACTCATTTGACCTTTTATGTCTACATAAGGATTTTTTTTAATGGTTCATTTAAACTATTTGGGTTTTTATCTTCTTTGTATAGATTCTAACTTTCTGTGGGGTAGGGTAGGATAGAACCTATAGCTTTAAGTATGCTAGGCTAACACTCTACCATGGACTTACATCCCACTACCTGACTTTTTAAACATAAGCCAAGGTTAAATATCAGCAAGGCATTATTGGAAATTTCTTTATTTTACAGTTCCATTTTAAAATTCACCTTAGATTATATAGTTGCTGTCAACAAAACTGGATAAAAAAAAATTTAACTTTACCAAAGAAAACAGGCGAAGCTGGACGTACATCCCTTGGCGCAGCATACGCCTGCAGCCCCAGCACTGGGAAGATAAGAGAAGAATACAAGTTCCAGGCCAACCTGAGCTATACAGAAAGACTGTCTCAAAAACCAAAAGCTGGGCCAGTACTAGTGACACAGACCTGTTAATCTCAGCTACTCAGATAAAGTAGGAGGGTCACAAATTAAAGCCAGCCTGAGCAACTGAGCAAAAACTATGTTTCAAAAAAAAGGGGGGGGGAGGTATAGGAAGAAGGAAGGAAAGAAAGAAATAGAAGTTTACTAAACACAGATGTTAACTTCTAGTGCAATCCTCACAAATGTTAACTTCTAGTGCAATCCTCAACAGCTGAGACAAAGTAGACATTCTTCTATGTGCTGATCAACGGTACACAGAACAGCACTTTGTTAGTAATTTGTTTAGCAGAAGGAACTTTCTCAAGGTAAACTGAAAGCCATCTAAGAATGAATGACCTTTAAATTCCAGTATGGTAAACCGTAACAGGAGCTGCGTTAAATAACTTGGGTAGCTCTTTCAATACTTGTTCAAAAAGTGAACTCAAAAACTGAAATTCTCAACAGTAACATACAAGGACTTCTTTTTAAAGCAAAAGAAAGCTGAACAACTTTGGAGCAACACACAGAACTCCCATCTAACAAGAATTGACACGGTTCTGAAGACCCTCCTTAAAACAAATAACAGGAGCGCAGCACACCTGCACTGAAAACACTGTCCGCTGTGACACTGCATGGCCTGTAATGAACTTACCCGTGCTCACATCTCAGACGCTTAGTAAGAACAAAGCACCATAGGGCTAGAGAGACAGCTCAACAGTTACAAGTACTTACTGCTCTTCCAGAAGACATGGATTCAGTTCCCAGAACCCACACGGCAGATCACAACTGCCTAGAATTCCATTTCCAGGGGATCCAAAAACCCTCTCTGACTTCCACCGGAAATGAGCATGCAGGTGATACACATATATGCATGCCAGCAAGATATTCACACACATAAAAAGTTAAATAAATCTTAAAAAAAAAAGTTAAATAAAGCCTCAATATAAAGTTTACAAGTATTGAGAGACTTGACTTAGTTCAAGTTATAAACTTAGGTTTCGAGTCACTTGTGATCTCAAAAAAGTTATTTCTGGTTTGCAGATGTAAAAACCTAGCCTGAGATAAAATGGAGGTGATTCAACCACACTCACCTAACTTGAAATGTAGGAAATAACCAGTGAATTGTTGTGAATTAGTATGTTTTTTTATTCAAGCATACTGGACTGCAAACAAACTTTAAGAACAGAATTAATGAAGCTATCACTACTTCGAGGATCCACAGGTTTCCAATCAAACCTTAAGAAGTTTATAGTCTGGCAAAACTACGGGCAACGGTGGAAATGGATGCTTAAAACCTAACCACTCTGAGAAAAGTCAACATAGGAAGTCAGCAAAGATCATCACTATGCAAACACCTGAGGGGTGCGGCCACTAAGAGACCATTCAGCTAGCTCTCCTGTTAACTAATCCCTATAGGAACCAAAAAATTTATTTTCCTTTCTACTTACATCAGATTATTATTCTCCAAGGGCAGCTTTCCATGCTCAAGCAAATATAACACCAAAAGAAAAAAAGTATCAGTAAGTGCCCAAAAGCTCAGCTTTCAGAACAGAAAGGAAATTCACCAAGTATTCTTGTCAGAATACTCCTTCGCACCCAAAGCTCCTTGGCCTGCTTTAAACCCATTTACTGCTGAAATACACCCTAGGTGGTTCGACGGCTCTCCGACACCAAGCCCTAACTGGGAAGCATAACCGACAGTTCCACGCAATGAGGAAGATCCTGAGAATTACTAGAAACTGACGTTCGCAGAACCGAGAGTTGGAGAGGAGAGTGAACAGTGCGGTCTCAGGTGAGTTCTTTAAAAGAAAAGGAGGAAAAAAAAAAAAAGGCGAAAATTTTTGGGCCAGAAGTTAGTTGGAAGGTTAAGGGAGGCGAGGCCGATGTCCGGCTCTGAGTGGACGGCACTGCAGGGACAGGCAGCATTTACCCCAACATGGGAAATGCTCAGAGTTCTCAGATCCGACCCGAGTCCCCGACACAAGAACGCTGATACGTGGCCCAGAGAGGACACGCGGGGGTGGGGCGGGCCCCGCTAAATCCTAGGATCCCTCAACGAGCTTTCAAAGGAGGATCGCAGCCTGATAAAGTCAATGGGTTCAAGGAGGCCTGCACCGGCCAGACAACGCCAAGGTAAGGAAAGCGACCGCGCACGGAAGCTCCGTCTCTGAAGCTTCCGAGGGTCGGCCCTCGGGAAGTCCGAGCAAGCCTGGGGCTCCCCGGTCCCTCAGGACCCAACCTGGGTCCTCCTCACCCCCCACGGGCCGAGACCGGACCCCTGGGACTGACAGGAGGTTTACAGCCAAACGCTCGCAGCTGCGGCGGAGCCAAAGACACAACCTGCTCTCGGTGCCGCGAGTGACACTCACCGGCCCGAAACCTCGAATGAAACCAGCAGCTTCGGGGGCGGCGGCGGCAGTGGCAGCAGGAACCGAACATCCAAAATGGCGGCTCCCTCGGCCTCACCACCGCAACTGCAGGCGGAGGGATCCCAGGCGAGGAGGGAGTTTCTAACTCACTTCTCGCGCTTCTCGAGAAGACACCGCTCCTCGGCTCCCTCTCCTCGTCCACTCCGCGTCCCTCCAACTGCAACCTGTGCTGATTTCCACCTCGGATGACCCGAGAACTCGGACCCTGCTGAGGACTATTTGCCGAGGAGGAGGCGACTGCGCCTGGCAGAGCGACGCAAAGCGTAGCAAGGGTCGGGGCTGTCACTGATGACGCTAGACGCGGCTGCCGAGTCACCGCTGCGAGGAGTCTGAGCTAGAAAGGTCCGGCCCTACCCCAGAGTCAACGCAATTTGGTTCCGCTTAGTGGCGGGGGGGCGGGGGGTGCTGTGCAGTCAGGAAACGGTGGGGTCACCTGAGGGGGCGGAGCTCAGCAAGGTAGCGGGGGAAGTCGGACAGGAGAGGCAGGTGCAAACGAAAGACGTAGCCAGTGTTTAGTCGGAAAGGACTTCTAAGTGGTTCCTGTCGCCTTTGAGTCCTTAGCTTTCTGGTCAACTTTAGAAGCATGTTCCGAGTAGCCTTGGAGTCTGCGGTTTGATGGTATCTTCATACACTTTTGGTAAAAACAAGTAGAAGATGAAGCCTAAGAATGGATTACAAGCACAGCACCACCCCTTGTGCGGCAGTCAGTCTCTCCAAAGATTCCCTCCTGTGGGAAAAAAGAATCTGGACAAATGACAGCTAAAACTCTTCCAGAATAGGCTTTCAATCTATGATTGAATGAACTAATGACCTGAAGCAAAGAAAGTCTAACTAGACAGTTCCTGGTGTGATAAATAATTACTAACTTGTGACAGAAGTCTTTTCCATGTGAACCTAGAGATCCTTGATATCTTGGCCCATTTAAAGGAAAGGTGAACTACCTAGAATAAAATCTTTCCGATAGATTGGCAACGAAGTCATCCCGGATGTGAATAAAACAAAAGACTAGACTGAATACCAAAGACCAGGAACTAAGCACAAATCCTGAGTTTCAGACTTGAGTGTCATAAACAGGAAGTTGCGCCTTTTCCCGTAGGCATTCGTTTTTTTCATGCAAGGATTTCAAAATACTTTACAGACGTTGAACTGGGTAAGTCTAGCGGTACAATTTTGACCTTGAATTTCTGGGGCATGCCAAGTGGCTGGAAAGAAAGGACGTCAAGGGTGTGATCAGATGTTGCATTGATCATAAGGCACTGTCGTATGTACCACCTAACCCTCGAGGCAATCTCTTGAGTCAAAGTAACTAACCAAAGTTTACAAATAAAGAAATTTAAGACTTGAGAGAAACTACGACTTGCTCCCACACTAGAGTCTGCCTTAAGATGTCATCATCTTACACAGAAAACCCCGCACACCCAAACACATATTCCAACCCAGATCTACTGGTTTAGAGAACAGAATGCTTATGGAATTCAGACCCTCCTACCCGTCTTAGGTGCATCTGTACAGGACAGCTTTAGGTACAGCATAAGACTAGAAGAACATCATAATGCTAGCACAGTGCAGATTACTTTGAGCCAGACTTATGCATAAAACATGCCAAATTCACTGTGAAATTTCCATAAAGGAAATCTTCAAGCAGAGGTGCAAGGCAAAGGTAGCCAAGTTTTTCACATGGAAGATTAAAATAGCTTTTATGGGCCAAATTAAGTGTTTACCATGGCAAACAACAAAAGAAGTCTTTTATTTTTTTCTCTTCTCTTTCTTTTTCTTATGCTTTTTCTTCTTCCCTTCTCTTCCTCCCTCCTCTCTTCCTCCTCCTCCTCCTTCTCTTCATCTTCCTCCTTCTTCTTCCTTTTGAGACAGAGGTCCAGGAACTGTATACTAGGCTGGCCTCACACTCACAGAGATCTGCCTGCCTCTGTCCCCTAAGTTCTAGGATTAATGACAGAAAGATGTCTTCTTAAGAAGGACTTGGAGGCAGCTGTGGTGGCAGTATCTATCTGTAAGCTCAAATCCTAAGATGCTGATCCAGAGAGATTGTGAGTTAGAGGATAGCCTTGGCTACATAGTGACTGATCTCACAACCACCCCTCCCTCCAAGGAAAGTTGAACACTCAGAGGAAAAGAGAAACTTGGGCCCTTTCTCTTTTGTTGTTGCTGTTGCTGTTGTTATTTTCTTCACTTGTATTTTTCTTTAAGTTACCACTCCTTAGCCTAATGTGGTGGCATAAAATAGAATCCCAGTACTTTGGAGGCAGGAAGATGAGAAGTACAAGGTCATCCTTGGCTACATAGCAAGTTTGAGGCTAACTTCAACTACATGTGACTCTATCTCAAAAAGATTAAAACAAAACTGTAGATATAATCTCACTATCCTAATATGACAGATATTCCAATGGTATTATTAAAATTAAATTTGGGATGCTGGGGAGATGTTTTGGTAGTTAAAAAGCACTTGCTGTTCTTGCAGAAGACCCAAGTTCAGATCCCAGCTTGAATGTCAGGCCAGTTTAGCTGCCTACAACTCCAGTGCCTCAGGGTCTGACACCTCCTTCTGGCCTCCAAGGACAACATACACACATGCACACACAAAAGTAAACATTTTAAATCTTTTGAGTGAGCTTACACAGAAGTAATAAACACTTTAAATCTTTTGGGTGAGCTTCCTAAAATTGTACACAAACATGGAAAAGATTGAGGAACAAAATTAAAATATGAAAATTATTAGCTTCAGATAGTAGGATTATTAAAATGTATTTATAATGAGGATCGCATACATTTATGCAAAAAAAGAGTCTTGCATATTTTGAAAATGAATTTTTATTAGAAAATGCTCCTCAACCCCACTCTGGCAGCAGGGCTAACGGAGAGTTGAGACAGTCTCATGTACCTCAGGCTGACCTCAGACTTACTATGTATCTTAAGATGGCCACTCCTCATCTCCCAAGTGTTAAGATTGCAAGTGTTCTCTAGCACACCTGGCAAGAAAATGCAGTCTTTTGTAATGTAAAAATAGGGGGATTTTTTTTTAAAACACGGTTTTATGTAGCCCAGGATAGCCCAAATTACCTGTGTAGCGGAAGATGAACTTGAGCTCCTGATTCTCCTTCCTCTACTTCTCAAATGCTGGGATTACAGGCATGCACCACCATGACCAGTCTATACAATTCTTGAGATAGACCCCAAGACCTCATGCATGCTAGGCAAACACTTTATCAAATGAGCTGTCAGTCCAGTTTTGTGTTGTGTTGTGTTGTTTGCATTTATGGGATAGAACTCTTGGCATCTTACATGCTTGGACAGCTCACATATGCCCCTAGCTCCTGGCTTTCGTTTTTGTTTGTTTGTTTGTTTGTTTGTTTGTTTGTTTGTTTTGGGGGGGTTTTGGCTTTGTTTTGTTTTGTTTAAAAGAAAAACAACAGTCTTCAAGAAGAAATAAACTTTAGGAAGAAGCAACAGCTGAGAGAAAAGGTCAGGTTGCCATTTTATTTTATGTGCTCCAGTCTCACAAATAATAACAACAAACCAAAAAATGAAACTAATGAGACAGACAGTCTGCATTGAGTTTTGCTTGGCTTAGCCCACTTTGTGGTTCGGCCAAGGCGTTTAACACCTCTGGGCCTATTATTCAGCTTTGCCATATTTATTTATGCATTCCCTTGTTCCAAAATGGATTTAAAGAAAATTTTATCCAAAGGGAATCAAATACATGAGGGCACTCTGCAAGTTAAACCATCTTAAGAACATAAGCGTAAAATGATTTTGTTTCACACCAGAGTTGAGCATTGATAGACTGTACACTGTACCTAACGGGAGCACATTACAGCTTACAACATACACAAGTATTTCCACAAAGGTCGATTCACTTGTTCAGCAGACGCCATAAGCTTGTAAGCCACAAAGAGGTCAGCCCTGTGGACTCCATTCTCTTCTTGTTCCTTTATCTGTGGGCTAATACTCAAGCCACCAGGTTGATGCCATGACTGCTGACACTCACGGAACCATCTGGACAGCCCTATCAGGCTCTCATTCAGCAGAAACCAGACTCAAATCTAGACCTACAGATTCCGGACTTCTAGTCCATAGAGTAAGCATTCCATCAGTTCGCAGCCCGAAACATGTCACTAGGCCATGCGTCTCTAGGTGTTCTAGAAACTGTAATAGACGTTACAAAAGAGACTTCCCCCTGCTGTCTAGATAATTAAACTTTTATTGAGGAAAACTAGTTTTAAATAATGCACAAATGCAAGGGAAAAAACTTCAAAGGGCTGATGTTATCTTCCAGCAGATTAAGTCCTTGTTGAAAATAAAGATATGGCCAGGCGGTGGTGGCGCATGCCTTTAATCCCAGCACTTGGGAGGCAGAGGCAGGTGGATTTCTGAGTTCGAGAGTTCGAGGCTAGCCTGGTCTACAGAGTGAGTTCCAGGACAGCCAGGGCTACACAGAGAAACCCTGTCTCGAAAAAAAACAAAAAATAAGAAAAAAAAGAAAATAAAGAAATGAAACTGGGGGGGAAGGGAGCCGTGCACATCTTTAATCTCAGCACTTAGGAGGCAGAGGTGGTCAGACGTGAGTTCAAGGCCAGTCAGAGAGACATAGTGAGATCCTGTCTCTAAAATAATAAATAAAATAAAAACAAAATAATGGAACTCCAGATGGCTCAGAAGTTCAAACTGTGTACTGTTCTTTCAGAAAACCCAAGTTTGATTCCCAGCACCAAGCAACTCACAACGACCTATAATGCCAATTCTGGAGGGATCTGATGCCTCTGGCTTCCACGGGCACACACACTCGTGTGCATGTACCCACATATCGACACACACAAACATATGCACAGGATTTAAAAGAGAACCTTTAAATTTAAAAAGAACATAGAAAGGAGAGGTTGTTGGGAGACAGAACAGTAGAGCAGGGCTATTTGGAAGACACAGCACACAAGTTAAAACCTAAGGTTCATAAGGGAGTCCTCTGCCTTTCTTTAGGTATATAGTAAGTTGTCTGGGTTTGGAGAGTGGCTTTAGAGGTGTGGGGAGGTTGGTTGGTTGTCTTTTTAAATTACATTTTTCTAGCCAGGCAGTTGTGGCCCACGAATTTAATCCCAGCTAGAAAACAGTGGCAAGCAGATCTGAGTTCAAGGCCAGCCTGGACTACAGAGTTCCAGAATTACCAGGGCTATACAGAGAAACCC